TTCGGTGCAATATTGAAATTAGCTTGAATTTTTCATAACCTCTGAATAGTGGGGTGACCTAACGGGTCACGGTCGGTCTAGTTACTCATAAAAATCCGAGTAATCCTTTGAGATGGACTCGCCCCTCCCTGCAGTTATGTGGAAGGGTGAAATTTGTGATTATTTCAGTCATTAGACAAGTATAGACTATTCAACTGACAATAAACGTTTCCTATGAATGGGGAATTAGTTGTTGTTGTTTTTTGGAAAGGGGGAATAGCCCATTGGGTGGTTTAAACAGGAATATTTTTCGACCACTCAGTCATCTGGTAAGATATTAATTGCGATATGTCCACAAACCAAAATATATACTAACACAATACATACTGATACACTTGTTAAAAAGTAATTTCTGCTTTCACACTAACACAACTGTGCTTGTATCTTTCTAAGATCATGCACCCTGTGTATGTGTGCAGTCGTTAAAAAGCAATTAGCGAAGGTACACTGCACACCCCGAGTACCTGACTCAGAAGTGTTTTCTTTTTTTGCAATTTTTAAATGTTCATTCATTAAACAGAACAACCTTTCAAAATACACCTGATATCAGATTCTTTTAACTTTACATTCGTCTTATGAGTCGGAATTATTTAAACTTTTTTTGTCATAATTAGCATTCTTTTAATTTTATTTTTCATGCTATATCTATTATTATGTAACTATTCAACATTTCTAACAGTAAAAATAAATTGTTTTATTAACTGTCACAATAGAGAAAGACATATGTATGTCAGTTTAAGACTTGTTTTCAAAATTAGCCTTAATTAATTAGTACGTCTGACAATTCTTAAATTCAATGCACGTAGTAGTTTAAGTAATTACAAATGTCTTATAATCAAGCCCTCGCGAGTTAACCCTTTAGCTCAGTTGGTAGAGAACTCATCTGGCGTGTGACATACTTCTGGTTCAAATACTGAACCGAAAAAATCTAACTAAAACATTAAACGTGATAACACTTATACTTAAATTAGAATTTCAAAAAATTTAATTGTAATACAATTGTATTAATGGAAGTTACCAGTATGTACTTCAAAAACGATGACATAGACTATTCTTACACTTAACATTTCGCTCTCCCCGCGGGAAATATCTGGGTTTAACACGCTAAAAAATTGGGTTCCGATACCTGTGGTGGGCACAGCTCAAACAGCCCATTGTGTAGCTTTGCGCTTAACAACAAACACTCAGTATTTATATTCATAGACTGCACTATTAGGTTAACTCTAGCTTACCATATCCAGACATTTAATCGAAAGCTTCGGAATTTATATTCTTCATTTTCATATCCTGTTCCTTTCCTTAGCATCAAGATTCTTATTTCATTCATAATTTTTTAGAACAATTAAAAACATATGACACGTGTTCAATCACTCAGAACACTGAAATTATTTTGGTAGAAAAATCTATGTTAGCTTTCTCATTCTGCAGCTCATATTACAGTTAAAAACGTACACTTATTGAAAGAGCGATCAACAAAGTTTAAACATAAATTACCGAAAAACGTCGCTACTCACTTTCTTACAATTAGAAAATTGTTCATAACCACCTAATTAGATCGTATTCTATGCAAGAAAATCAACGTAGCTTTTAAATTATATTACATTTTAATAGTAGTAAAATATTTTTTTCCTATGCACCATATAGTTACACAATGAACTATATGCACTCTGTCCATCGCGGGGAATCGAACCCCGAATTTTGCGTTCGAAGTCCGTAAACTTATCGCTGACCCACCTGGGGGATAATATTAGCCTTACTTCTCTTTGATAGTAGATATATGGTGTTAATGTTAAGTAGGTGATTAAAGTCGTAAACTTATTTCAGTGGTATTATTAAAAAATACTTACTTATACTGTTTTTACAAGTGTTCGAGTTAGGCGTGTAACATACTAAATACTTTTAAAGACTTAATGGATAAAGTTAATCGATGTTGATATTTAGATAGTGGTAGATATTTGTTGAGAATAACACTTCAAGTGTTTATAAAACTATTGCCAGGGTGCCTAAGGTCTTGGGGAGGGATCCATCTAAAAATCTCCTCCCACAACCAAAATTCAAAATCGTATCCACATTTGTGACTTTAATATTAGTGTCTGCTTTGTTCTTCAGGGCCTTTACTAAGACATTTAATTTGTGGTTGTGGTCTGTTAGACAAATTGATATTTGTTTGCCTGTTACATGGAGGCTTCAAAGGTTTATATAAGATCTATAATATCACATGTAATTTTTCTGCAAGTTTAAGATTCCTGGTTTTTTTTATAATGAAAGTTTTATACTTTTCATTATTGTTTTGTTTCTCTAGGTATAATGTTAACGTTTTCAGATATATGTTTGGCTTTTTTTTTAGGTGTTAAAATTTAAATTAAAATATCAATCTAATTCCTACCTATGAGAACTGGTTATGAAATGAATCATGTTAACATTGTTCAACTTTAACAGAGTATTGACTGATGATGACCTATGGGTCAAAACACTATAATATAATAAAACTTATTCTCATTGCAGAGTTTTTTATTACTCTTTATTAAGTGAGATTATCACATTATAGCAAGTATTTTACACACAGTTTGACAATATAAGAATCAGCTTGCTACAGTTCAAATTCAATATTGAAAGTTCTTTATATGTTAGGTAAATGGTTAAGTTTAGAGACGTTTTAATAAACTTGGAAACATGCCATTTTATCAAGTATAAAAAAATTAATTGCATTTGGAATAAAATGTTTAATTTATATGTTACACAACAGTTTAACAAAAAATAAACTAAATAGTTAGGCACTTGATTTTAAATATATTTTGTAATTACTTTTTTTTTGTCAGTTATATCTAAGTGTTGATTTTCACTAAAAGTTTAAGTAATATTTAACAGATATTTGTGGATTTTATAGTATGGCCTATAAAAGTGGTTCTCAACCACTTTTATGCAAGGAGGTTTCAGTCAATGTGCAATACAAATGAAAAAATAAACGTGTTTTAAAATATAACTACTGAAATTTGTTTTACGATGTAAAGTACTTTCAAAAAGTAATATTGTTCAAAGTGGTCCATGAAATTGTGGGATTGGAACTAGCTGGTTCTCAGTTGGAAAAAAAACAAAAACATTGGGAATCATTGTTCTAGAAAATGGCATGGAAAGCCAGGCCAACATATTAACCTTTATTTGCTGGAAGATCTTGGAGACTACCAGAGTGGTACAATAATCAAATGTGGTGAGGGTGTTTTATCAGTGAAACTGATACTTTCTCAAAAACTAGAGAAGATCATTGTAAATTCTATTTCTAAACACAACAAGAAAAAAAATAAGTTGATATACTTAGATTAACATTTTCAGATAATCTTGCAAATTTAATGATATTATTGGATGGAAGGAAGCAAATTGAAGGGTTTAAGTTGCTGTAAGTTAACATTTTTTAATCGTGGAACTACAAATGATAAAATCACAGCTAACCTGGAATGTAACTTTTATAGTATACTTCTCAGTTATTATCTATATATGTGTGTGTTAAATATTTAACAATGATACAACCTAAGGTTTCACCTTTCCTGTTGTTTTTTTAAATTTTAATTCTTGTGTGTGTGTGTGTGTGTGTGTGTGTGTGTGTGTATATATATATATATATATA